GTTAAGGTCTCTTCCAACTATAAAGGACCTTGTTTTCAAACTGTACCTTGTTTTCAAACTTGGTTAATATGTTGTTAATACATTTTTCTGGTTGTTTATTTTAAGTAGTGAGTAGATTTTCCCCTGCAATTCACAGATCAAGATCTGCTATTCTTATCCACTTCTCTATATAGTTCTTTATAAATTACATTCTTTGAAATAAAAATTGCAACTCCTCTGTTTTTATAGCTATAATCTGAGGAGACAAGAGTTGGATAATAGAAACTTTTCATTTTCCAGTGTGTTTCTTGTATAAATCCGACAAAAATTTTCTTTTTCCATAAATGATCTACTAAAAGCGTACGTTTCTGTGGAATATTCAGACCCTTAACGTTCAAAGTTATAATCCAATCGTATTCCCCTCTAACAGTAATCCTCCCTATGCTACATAATTCCTCAGGCTGGCCATGCACAAATACAACAATATAACAACAAAAAACCCTCAAAGGGTTTTAAAAAGAAAAAAAATGAATCTCGAAAAACCCTTACGAGTGTCACTGTCCCAAATAGTGTGTCTTACCCCTTTCCCTTGCTAGAAACTTTTTCTGTCAGCTCTTCTATCAAGAGCTGTACTGTAGGGCAATGGAAAGCAGATATTTTTTAAAATTTGTAAAGTAAACTTTGTCTTGTACGCATTGATTCTTCTTTCTTACTTTAATAAATTTTTTCTAGACTTTCTTAATTTTATTTCATGTGCATTTACTTCTTTATTTAAGATAATTCAACGTGTCTATATTGTCCTTGTTAATTTATGTGCAATTCAAATATTTCCTTATTACCTACTCATATTAGCAGATATTTAAACCCCCCCCTTTTTTTTCTCTTTCCTTTCTCCTTTTTCCTTCCTTCCTCTTTCCTTTCCCTTTCCTTTTCCTTTCTTTAAAATGAGGGTGGTCACATATATAGTACAATTTGCATTTAAATTTAATGTTCCCTATGACATTTTTTCTCCTTTTTTTTCCCCTTTCTTTGTCCTTAGTCTCAACCAATTTGAACATATACACTTAATTACTTTTATCTTTCCTCGATATAGTTATTAATCGTGAGGGCTAGTGATGTACCGAACTGTTCGCCGGCAAATAGTTCCTGGCGAATATAGCGTGTTCGCGTTCGCTGCCGCGGGCGAACACAAGAGCGGTTCGATCCGCCCCCTATTCGTCATCATTGAGCAAACTTTGACCCTGTGCCTCTCGGTCAGCAGACACATTCCAGCCAATCAGCAGCACACCCTCCCTAGCAGATCCTCCCACCTCCCTCCCAGCATCCATTTTAGATTCATTCTGAAGCTGCATGCTTAGTGAGTGGAGGGAAAGTGTAGCTGCTGCTGATTAAATAGGGAAATTGATAGCTAGGCTAGGGTATTCAGTGTCCACTACAATCCTGAAGGACTCATCTGATCTCTGCTGTAAGGACAGCACCCCAAAAAGCCCTTTTTAGGGCTAGAACATCAGTCTGCTTTATTTTATTTTTTTTCAGTGTATTGTAATTGCAGTTGCCTGTCTGCCAGCTTCTGTGTCAGGCTCAGTGGATGCTTTGCCCATTTGCACAGTCAGTGCCAGCACTCATATCTGTTGTCACAATAGCTAAAGCTTTACATTTAAAAAAAAAAAAATTTCACTGTCATAGAAGAGCAGTTGCCTGCCTGCCAGCTTCTGCACAACTGCACAACTGTGCCAGTGTACTTTGACAGTTGCCACTCATATCTGGTGTCTCTGTAGCGTGCTTTTACAAAGAAAAAAGGTTTCCAGTGTAAGCTAATAGCAGCCACTCAGTGTCCTTCAAGCGGCTGTGTCAGGCCTACAGCCTGTGCTCTGCACAACTGTGCCAGTGTACTTTGACAGTTGCCACTCATATCTGGTGTCTCTGTAGCGTGCTTTTACAAAGAAAAAAGGTTTCCAGTGTAAGCTAATAGCAGCCAGTCAGTGTCCTTCAAGCGGCTGTGTCAGGCCTACAGCCTGTGCTCTGCAGAACTGTGCCAGTGTACTTTGACAGTTGCCACTCATATCTGGTGTCTCTGTAGCGTGCTTTTACAAAGAAAAAAAGGTTTCCAGTGTAAGCTAATAGCAGCCAGTCAGTGTCCTTCAAGCGGCTGTGTCAGGCCTACAGCCTGTGCTCTGCACAACTGTGCCAGTGCACATTGCCACTCATATCTGGTCTCACAGTAGCTTGCACGCATAGTACCACTAATCCCCCAAAAAATGACAGGCAGAGGCAGGCCACCCCGCAGGGGCCATCGTGGTCGTGGTGCTGTGATGGCCCTAGGATAATGCCCAGTTTTCAGAGGCCACGTACCCTGAACTTGAAAAGTTCTGAGGACATAGTTGACTGGCTAACACAGGACACCCAATCTTCTACAGCCTCCGTTCAGAACCTTGATGCACCATCCTCCTCCAGCTTAGCTTCAGGCACCTCTCAAGATACCACTCACCCGCCTGCCGCCACCACCAAAGCTAGCACCACAGCCGCTTTACTTGGTATGTCAGAGGAGTTATTCACACATCCGTTTGAAGAAATGAGTGATGCGCAACCATTATTGCCAGAGGATGTAGATAACAGGGATATGTCTCAGGCAGGCAGCATTACACACATGGACGTACGGTGTGATGATGATGATGATGTTGTACCCGCTGCTGCTTCCTTTGCTGAGTTGTCAGATACAAGTGAAGCGGTTGATGATGATGATGCGTCCATGGATGTCACGTGGGTGCCCGCTCGTCAAGAAGAAGAACAGGGTGAAAGTTCAGATGGGGAGACAGGGAGGAGGAGGAGATGAGTTGGAAGCAGGGGGAGGTCGTCGCAAGGAGCTAGTGGCACAGTCAGACAGCATGCATCGACACCCGGGGTCAGCCCGACAGCACGCCAATCAACGCATGCTGTGTCCACCACCAGAATGCGTCATTGCAGAGCTCAGCAGTGTGGAATTTTTTTTGTGTGTCTGCCTCTGACAACAGCGATGCCATTTGCAACCTGTGCCAAAAGAAACTGAGTCGTGGGAAGTCCAACACCCACCTAGGTACAACTGCTTTGCGTAGGCACATGATCTCACATCACAAACGCCTATGGGATCAACACATGAGTACAAGCAGCACGCCTACTCTAAGCCGCCATCCTCCTCCTGGTCCAGCATCTTAAGCCACGTCAACCACTGCTGTCCTCCTTGCCCCCTCTCAACCATCCGCCACTCCGTCTCCCGCCTTGAGCAGTTCACGCTCATCTGCCCACAGTCATGTGTCTGTCAAGGACATGTTTGAGCGTAAGAAGCCAATGTCAGAAAGTCACCCCCTTGCCCAGCGTCTGACAGCTGGCTTGTCCGAACTATTAGCCTGCCAGCTTTTACCATACAAGCTGGTGGAGTCTGAGGCGTTCCAAAAATGTGTAGCTATTGGGACACCGCAGTGGAAGGTACCCGGCCGAAATTTATTTTCACAAAAGGCAATCCCCAACCTGTACTCGATTGTGCAAAAGGAAGTAATAGCATGTCTGGCACACAGTGTTGGGGCAAGGGTCCATCTGACCACTGATACCTGGTCTGCAAAGCATGGTCAGGGCAGGTATATCACCTACACTGCGCATTGGGTAAACCTGCTGACTGCTGCCAAGCATGGAATGCATGGCTCTGCAGAGGAGTTGGTGACACCGCCACGACTTGCAGGCAGTCCTGCTGCCACCTCCTCTACTCCTCCTACTCCATCCTCTTCCATAACCTCCTCGGCTGAGTCCTCTTCTGCTGCTGCGTCTTGCTCCACATCAACGGCACCCCCCAGCTCCCCAGGTACTATTCCACATCCCGGATACGGCAGTGTCACGCCATTTGAGTGTGGCCATTTCAGGCGTTCCTACACGGCCATGGCTCACTTTGCCGATATCCAGCGCGCGAAACAACATGCCAGTGAGGCGCTTGATTTGCGACAGCCCGACACGTTGGAATTCAACACTCCTAATGTTCGACCGCCTGCTCCAACAAGAAAAAGCCGTTAATGAATATTTGTATGACCGGGGTGCTAGGACAGCCTCTGGGGAGCTGGGAATTTTTTTGCCACGTTACTGGACGCTCATGCGCAATGCCTGTAGGCTCATGCGTCCTTTTGAGGAGGTGACAAACCTAGTCAGTCGCACCGAAGGCACCATCAGCGACATCATACCATTTGTTTTCTTCCTGGAGCGTGCCCTGCGAAGAGTGCTGGATCAGGCCGTAGATGAGCATGAAGAGGAAGAGGAAGAGTTGTGGTCACCATCACCAACAGAAACAGCCTTATCAGCATCACTTGCTGGACCTGCGGCAACACTGGAAGAGGATTGTGAGGAAGAGGAGTCAGAGGAGGAATGTGGCTTTGAGGAGGAGGAGGAGCAAGACCAACCACAACAGGCATCCCAGGGTGCTCGTTGTCACCTATCTGGTACCTGTGGTGTTGTACGTGGCTGGGGGGAAGAAAATACCTTCATTGACATCAGTGAGGAGGAGGAACGGGAAATGAGTAGCTCGGCATCCAACCTTGTGCAAATGGGGTCTTTTATGCTGTCGTGCCTGTTGAGGGACCCTCGTATAAAAAGGCTGAAGGAGAACGACCTGTACTGGGTGTCCACGCTACTAGACCCCCGATATAAGCAGAAAGTGGCGGAAATGTTACCGAATTACAACAAGTCGGAAAGGATGCAGCATTTGCTAAATAAATTAAAAAGTATGCTTTACACAGCGTATAAGGGTGATGTCACAGCACAACGGGAATATAACAGGGGGAGAGGTGGGAGTCATCCTCCTCCACCCACGACCACGCCGGCAAGGACAGGACGCTTTAAAGACGTGTTGTTGATGGAGGACATGCGGACCTTTTTAAGTCCTACGCATCGCCACAGCCCTTCGGGATCCACCCTCAGAGAGCGACTCGACCGACAGGTAGCAGACTACCTCGCCTTAACTGCAGATATTGACACTCTGAGGAGCGATGAACCCCTTGACTACTGGGTGTGCAGGCTTGACCTGTGGCCTGAGCTATCCCAATTTGCGATAGAACTTCTGGCCTGCCCCGCTTCAAGTGTCCTGTCAGAAAGGACCTTCAGTGCAGCAGGAGGTATTGTCACTGAGAAGAGAAGTCGCCTAGGTCAAAAAAGGCTAGATTACCTCACCTTTATTAGGATGAATGAGGGATGGATCCTGAAGGGACTGACACCGGGCGATACATTCGATTAAAAAAGGCCTGATGAGATGAGCTGCCTTGGGCTAAAAATGGTCCACACACTGCTGTATTTTAGCTCTGAATGCCAGTTGACTTGCGTGACTTATCTGCCACCAACTAGGGTTCAAGCCGCCATGTTTTAGGGCACTTTCTGCCTGTGAAACAAACATCAATTTTTCTGGCCGCTGCTACAGCAGCGGCTGCAACAATACCGAATTTTTCAGGCATGTGTACATGCCTAATTTTTAGGCCCTCTGGTGCTGCACTGTGGCTTCAAAACTTTTTTCATTGTTATAGATTGAATAGCAGTTAGTTGTCTGCAAGCGTCAGAAAGTCACCCCCTTGCCCGGTGTCTGACACCTGGCTTGTCTGAACTATTAGCCCGCCAGCTTTTACCATACAGTCTGGTGGAGTCTGAGGCGTTCAAAAAATTTGTAGCTATTGGGACACCGCAGTGGAAGGTACCCGGACAAAATTTCTTTGCGCAAAAGGCAATCCCCAACCTGTACTCGGCTGTGCAAAAGGAAGTAATGGCATGTGTGGCACACAGTGTTGGGGCAAGGGTCCATCTGACCACTGATACCTGGTCTGCAAAGCAGTGGGTACTTTATAAATGGCTCCACCTGCCACCCGTACAGCAACACAGTCTCCAGTTAGGAGGACCGACCAAGCATCTTCTTCCATCTCCCTGTTCCTAAAATGGCTGCCATATACACGTTCACAGATAGGAGACGCGAAAGGTATTAAACTGATCAGAATAATACTAAACACACCACTCCTATCTGGTGGCACATTAGATTGCCCACTTGTATGCTTTGTTCTGTGGACTCACGTCATCCTTAATGAGGCGTTCTCTCATTTGGTCAGTTTTAGACTCGGGATAGTAACATGTAGAGTAGTCGCCAGCCATAAAAGTAGAATAATGCCTGGAGCATCATCTTCATCTATAAATTTGATGATTGCAAATGTATTTGCTTCTGCCATATCCAGCTTTCACAGAAAAGTAACTCACTCTTATGAAAAAAATAAGATAAAGTATACACAAAATAAATGATGAAAGTAATATTATATATCATGTACCCTTCATTAAAAATGCAGTTAAGAAATGAATGAAATTACATAAACTGGATAGATTAATAAAACTTGCAGATTAGCCACTTCCATGCCATGTAATGGAAGGGGTTAATGCCCCCAGAGTGTCAGGCGTGTATTTTAAACACAGGACAACCCCTTGATTGAAATGGGTCCTTCCATGTTTCCAGTCAGGCCCTGCCCCACCAGCCGTGTTGATTCTTAATGAGTTGAGGGATCTCTTCCCTTCACCTTAGCCAGACGGCTGGAGACCATACAGTGCAGCCTTATTGCGGCCAAAGGCAGGCGAAATACTGCTTAAATAGCAGTACTGAGCTTTAGTCAACCTCACCTCTGATACGGTTTAAGATCCTTTCGCCTGCCATTTGGGTGACCAGGTGTGCGGTTCCTAAAATGGCTGCCATATACACGTCCACTGATAGGAGACGCGAAAGGTATTAAACTGATCAGAACAATACTAAACACACCACTCCTATCTGGTGGCACATTAGATTTCCCGCGCAGTGCCCCAAATTTGAAGTAAGAGGGCCGACCAAGCATCTTCTTCCATCTCCCTGTTACAGAAATCACTGCCATATCCATACAAATTGTACAGAATGTCCAGGCTAGGTTTCCAGGGACAAATGTTGTCACCTGTTGAACGAGGTGACCTTGCTCAGGTCCCAGGTGTGCGGTTCCTAAAATGGCTGCCATATACATGTCCACTGATAGGAGACGTGAAAGGTATTAAACTGATAAGAATAGTACACCACTCCTATCAGTAGGTCCCCCCCATTGTGATTTATGCCCCCCACCCACCGCGCAGGGGTGGGGGCCGGGGGGGAGAACAGTAGGTCCCCCCATTGTGATTTATGGCCCCCACCCACCGCGCAGGGGTAGGGGACGGGGGGGGGAGGATAGCTGTCAATCCATATCTGCCAAGTGACCCTATGTAAGGGGAACAGTCCCTATTCTGCTCTGTGTCAGTGTGTTTCAGGGATCCTTAGGATAGGTGTCAATCCATACCTGCCAAGTGATCCTGTGTAGGGGGAACAGTCTCTATTCTGCTCTGTGTCAGTGTGTATCAGGGGCTTTGAGGACAGGTGTCAATCCATACCTGCCAAGTGACCCTATGTAAGGGGAACAGTCCCTATTCTGCTCTGTGTCCATGTGCATCAGGGGCTCTGAGGACAGGTGTCAATCCATATGTCAAGGTGCCAATATGTCATATGTCAGGTGTCAATCCATATTCATTGCGATTTAGGAATGTTAGGTGATTTATGCCCTTTATGGATGAAAACCAGACTCTGCATCAACTGTGTAATTTTCCATGGCAGTTTTGCCATGGATCCCCCTCCGGCATGCCACAGTCAAGGTGTTAGTCCCCTTCAAACAACTTTTCCATCACTTTTGTGGCCAGAAAGAGTCCCTGTGGGTTTTAAAATTCGCCTGCCCATTGAAGTCAATGGCGGTTCGCGCAGTTCGCCGGTTCGCGAACGTTTGCGGAAGTTCCCGTTCGCCGTTCGCGAACCGACAATTTCAGGTTCGCGACATCACTAGTGAGGGCCCCAAAGCTGTAGAATAATACTCTTGTCTTTCTCTCTCCACCTATCTAATTGCAACCTTCTTGTTTCCCCTATTTTATTCTATCCCCCTAGTGAATAGTTACAGTATTTTCTGGCGTATAAGATGACTTTTTAACCCTGGAAAATCTTCTCCAAAGTCGGGGGTCATCTTATACGCCGGGTATAGGGTCTATATAGCTGCCGGGGGCGCTCAGACGGCTGCCGCACTGCCTCTCTTCTGACAGGACGAAGAGGAGCTCGGCCACCCACTCTGCACAGGGAAGGGGAGGTGAGAAGAACGTAGGGAGGATTGGGGGGGAGGAGTAAAAAGAATGGAGAGGGGGAGTAAAAAGAATGGAGGGGGGGAGTAAAAAGAATATATATCACAATTAGCCTCCTGTGTGCTAGACCAGCAGACATGGATTATATGCCCAAACAGCCTGGCTTTAAATGCCATTTCAGATTATCATTATTTAATGTCTTGCTGTGTAGCTCTGTCTGCTCACTGTACATCATGGCTAATTTTTATTTGGTGTGAATTGGAAGAGGGGTAGTCTTATAGGGCGAGTATATCCCAAACTCTATATTTTAACTGGAAAAGTTGGGGGTCGTCTTATACGCCCAGTCTTCTTATACGCCGGAAAATACGGTACGTTATTCATTCTACAATATTAATACACATTTATCCATTATTAAGCAAAAGTAAATATCAAAATTTGTTAAACGTACTCGTGAGTATATCCCAACATTTAAATTGTGTGAATGTTATATTTGAACCATGATGTTTAATTAAACCCTTAAGGACATAACTTCTTGAATAAAAGGGAATCATGACGGAATATTTCGTTGTGTGTCCTTAAAGGGTTAATAGATATTGCTTTATCTATCCATTCTAGTAACTTAGTCAAACTTTCCATTATTGTGCAATTTCAATTAAACTATAAAAAAAATCCCATGTGAATTTTATTTCATTATTTTTACCCATTATTGTAAATATCTAAATTATGTTATTCCATTATCTCCACTCCCTATCCATACCCTATCCCTCCCATCATATGTCTACTCACTACCCTCCCTCTTCTCTTACCCCCTCTCTATCTTATCCCACCAACTCTGTTTCGAATGTTATCAAGTTTACACGAGTGCCAACTTTAATCATTTTGTCTAGTTCATACTTGTACATATTTGCGAAACCATTATCAATAGTGATTCTATGAAGTGCATTTATCATAGGAGGGGATAGGTATACTAAATTAACTATACTTTATAGTAGGGAGGAAAGAAAAACATAAGTAGAGCAATACATTAGTTTAACTATTGAGACTTTACATTTTACCATTATCATCATTTAGGAAATAAAAATGTTTGACTTTTGCCAAGAAGTGGCTTTTTGGGAAGAGTCGAACACAAAAGAAGAGTTCTCATAGTGAACAACCAATTTTGCTGGGAAACCCCAACTATATTTTATGTTGTTATTGCTTAGAGTGGTGGTAGTCTCATAGAAAGATCTTCTGACCATTTCTTAAAGAAGACATCCCAGGGTATTTCAAAAGGCATATTTTGAACCTTAGCGTGGGATCATTTTTCCGCTAACTTGTACCAAGTGTAGTGGTAATAAGCGTTTTTAAATGTATTTTTTTACTTTTTTTACTTTTAAAAACTAGTTTTGAAACGTTTGTTTTGCTTATTAATTTTTTTAAACTTTCCAAAACTTTCTTAACTTTTTTTACAGATTTAACATTTTTCTAAGCTTTTTTTTTTTTACCGTTAACCCCTAACTAGCAGTAAGCAGCACTAACAGTAAATTCACCATTTTCCCATAACTCCCACCCACCCCAGCTAGCAAAATATATAATTATAAAATATTTAAATTAGTTAATTAAATAAATTGAACCCCTAAGGGTTAAAAAATAAATAAAAGTTAATCGTCAGGGGTTAAAAAAAATTAGATCACAGTATAATACTGTGATAAGTATTTTGATCACTGTAGGCAGTGATCGACTGGCAGGGAAGGGGTTAATTTTTATTTGGACTGGCTAAAGGGGGGTGTTTTTTATTTTTTACTTAAACGTTATTAAAACTTAATTTTGAACTTTTTAAAGCTTATTTTAAAACTTTTTTTAACGTTAACCCCTAGTTAGCCTAACACCATATCCCCCAATTCCCCACTAACTTCCACCCACCCCAGCTAGCTAAATTTATCATTTTAAAATATTTAAATTAATTAATAAAATAAATGTAACCCCTGAGTGTTAATTCTTTTTTTTTTAACACAGTGAAGGAGTTTAAGCATGCGTGGGATATGCATAAGGCTATCCTAGCTAGAAGATAAGGCCAGGGACTAAAGAAAATATTTAAAAAATTGGTCAGA